AGGCTAGGATTCCCCACCAACGATTTCTGTCGCAGTTGCCAATGTCCCGCCCTGGCCAACATGCGCAACCAATTCTTCAACAAGTACTTTCTAGATTGTTTAGCCGATTTGAACTCGGCGAACGTTCTCGACTTTTTGTGCTATATAAAACGCACTCGGTGGTTCAATTAATAAGGGAGGGAAAGAAACAAATGGCTTCGGCCAGTGGTACCAGAACGGGCTGTCCCAGCCCACGTGTGCTCCGCGCTCTGCGCGGGGCAGCCACTCTAACCTAACAAGAGAATTAGGAATTTTTTTATGGAAAAGTGTTTTTGTGAATCCTCACTATAAAAAAGTGCCATAAAAAAATTCGGTTAATCGATTATTTCTCAATAATTGCAATTAATTTTTGTTGGCTTGTGATTAATCATATGATTAATTAATCGATTCTTTTTTTTATTTTTTTTCGAAATCCCTACACTTAACTGAGTTGGCACGAACGCACGCTTCGATATGAGAGAAGGATCTGGAAATATCGCAAAAACAAAAATTTGTTGCGCCTCACGGGCGATATTTACCATTCTACAAAACAACAAAATTTATCAAAAGACTTCAACCTCATACTGGCGTTTGTTCAAAGAAAACTACATTTCGCTTCTGCAGACTAAACACGAATGAATGAATTTTATTGTCAAAACTACCCAATGCCCGCTTACTTCGCGGCGCCTAATAAGAGCTTTTGCGTTGGCCAATGCAAAAGAGCGTTTAAAAACAAAATTAGTCTGTAAAGTCAAAATTTTTGATTTAAGTTGAAACCACTAAGGCTCAGTATCCTCCTCACACATAGGCCAATAATAGTAACGCTGTGATACCATATGGAATACCAATCGCTTTCGGTGTCATGAGCTTTACCGATGGTCTTATTTCCATCTGTGAGATCTCTGCCAGGCATGCATAATCTTTTTGTATGATCTTTCAACTACAACATTGGTAGGGAAACTCAAGAGCACAGAAGTGCGTTTTCTGTTATAGGAGGGCCAAGAATCCTCGCTGTCCCACAGGATGAAAAGTTTTGCGGTACATTGCTAAATGAGTCGTGTGATCTCTTAAGTATCTTTCAGATGAAGCAATTGATATACCTACGGTGATCTTTCCTTGTTAATTCACCACTTTTACAATTCGTGGTAAAATTTATGAACTGATTTCTGGGTAGATGCAAGACCGCATGATCGTGCGTGAGGGCGTCAGAAAAACTTAACCCCATCATCCATTTAGACATCTGAAAACTAAATTCGTACAACTGAAACATAGTGCCAAAGCAGACCAACCACACGGGGTTTCTATACATTTCGTCTGCGGCGCCATCCATTGGGTTCATTTTCTGCAAAACCATTGCTTACCATAAAATGAATACGTGTTATGAATTTCAACCTTAACTCCAGCGGCACTAATCAGGTAAATTTTAATCAAAAGAATTTTCCATCATACAGGTACATAGATCACATTTAAAATTTGAATCGGTTAATAAATAAGATTTTTATAAATAACTCTACTCCAGCACCACCTAGCGAGTTTTCTAATAGCATGTAATTGGGCCATATATGTATGTAAGACAACCTCCGACAATCTGACGGAACTCTATTCAGTGTTTTTTGAGTTTATTCCGAACAACGAAAACGGCTATCATTTTATGCAAATAGGTATGTAGATAGGACAGTTTATAGCGAAACTCGTAAAAGCAAAGCTCCATTCTTTGTGAAAAATTAAAAAATACTTCAAAATTTTCAGATAAATTTTACCTTACTGAAAATTAAAGACAAAGTAACAATAGTTCAATGGGATTTAGAAATCTAGGAGAAAATGGTTCCCAATCGAATGATACTTGCGCGTTTACGTAAATGTATGTATATCCAGAGCAGAGAACGTTTATAAATGAGAAGGCGCATTTCCAGTGACCGTTTTTGTTGCGCAAAAATTTTGAAGAGATGTCGAGCAAATATACCACTCGTCGACGAAGTGCACCACTCGACCGACGGTGTCGGCAGAGAAGTGTCGGCTGCCACCATACCAAAAATTTTTCCGTACCACCACACTTCGAGCAAATTTACTATAGTTCAAAGCAAAATGAAAAAATAAGAACGAAAAAGGAATGATGAACAGAAATATAATAAGCACTAGGCAGAGGGGATGCTTGCGGAGGCAGGCGCGTGCTTGTGTCGGATCAAAACAAACTCTAAAATAAAAATGGAAGTCAGAACGACAAGTGCAAGTAAGAAGCGGGAAACGGGGAAAGGAGCGGGCTTTTGTACATTTGCTTGTTTGCCGAAAATATGATATTTGCGTGAAATCGATTTGCTGATTGTTGCAAATTGATTTTTCAGCTAAGTTGATAAGATTTTCTTTTTATAGAAACTATTTTATTATAATTTATTTAAACATATGTATGTATGTATATATTTACATTTATTATTTATTTATTTATTTTATAATTTTATTTGATATTTTAATATAATTTAATATTAAGCCAAATTCAGTTGTTATTGTTAAATACATAAACATATTAATATAATAAGGAAATGTTAATAAAATCGACTTTTTAATTTTGGAAAAATTTTTGATATCTTTTGATAGGTAGCTGATAGCATTTTTCTTTGTGGCATTTATCTTATGATGGCATTTATCTTAAAAAAAAAAGATTTTTGGCAAAAAAAAAATTCGAAAGCATTAAAAAAATTATATATGTACATGCAACTGCATAAATGAATTGAAACTGAAAGTATTTACAAAGAAGTTTTTTCGCAAATATATGTGGCTATGAAATATTTTTCCATAACTACAATTTCATAGAATCATATTATGCTGCCCGACCTCTTATGGGAATTTTTATGCATACATTTTATAAATAAAAATCAATTTATAAAATAAACCCCAAAGGTCAACATAAAATTAAAAAAGGAAAATTTAATTACATTAAAAAAATAAAAACAAAAAAAATCTCCAACTGGGATTTGATCCCCAGCAAAAATGCAACACGCGAAAATGATCTCGCGCCTCTAGCGCATCCGCCACACAACACATTGAAATCCTAGCGCTTAAACAGTGTTTTACGATGTCGTTCAATTTCATGCGCAAGCTTGCGACGCTCAAATTTCGTGTAATTGTGTGTGCAGAAAACCACCATCGTTTTGCCAAATTTTGTTAATTGATGAATATGTACATATTTTGATGTTTAATCAAGAAATTTAATATTATCTATCAACATTGAAGAAATATTAAATGAAATGGTTATGATCATATGTTTAAATTAATATTTACTTGTGAATAATACATAGATATAAATACATATATGTATGTACATATGCATACACGTATGTACATAATTGATTAGTGTTCATGCAAAGAAAAATGCAATCGCTTCTAATCACTCTAATCAATCTATGAACATCAAAAACCAAATATGTACTTATGTATGTACATACATACAAATACTACAAATGAAAGCATACAGACACTGCGCTTACTATTCCCGAACTCCCGCTTCTCACGAGCAAGACATTCATTCATAAACGTAAAAGCTGCCGTTCACAAATTCGTGCGCACCTTGCACACTTACCCCGCTACAAACATGAGCCGTCCCCAAGTTGATTTTCGTCGCGGCGATGACAAAATCTAAAAATCTAAAATTTTATCAACCACCGCGCCGATTGGAAAAGTGGCAACAGCGGTCAAACTCCCCCTTCCCTTTGCACACTTCTGGGATCTAAATAAAATATTTTTTCCACTTGTTACCGAAATCATGCATCTGCGCCGACAAGTGCGCAAAATCACTTCGCTTTCGTTTCCCCCTTCTTGTCAACGAGTTCTTCTTCTTCTTCTTCTTCAATAACTTCGATGGCGATTGAAATGCAAAAAATTAATTTTAACCACCAAATTATTCTTTATTTTATTTTAGAAATAAATTCATAAAAAACAACCGCCTCGGTTAGGATATGAACCCTGATAACAACGGCAGCAAAGTATCATTTATCGCCACGCATTAACCAACTATGCCAAAGCACTGTACTAATATCCAAAATTTTTTAATTTTCGTTGACATATCTACATTTACGTACCAAAGAATATATGTGCGTAAATGCTTTTTCGCTAGTATGCATAAAGAATAAAATAATGTAAAAAAAATATTTTTTAAAAAC